TGTAAAGCGCGGCCGACCGGTAAGGCTGACAACTTGACCGCCATCTGTATGCTGATTGTCTAGATAATATGGCCCCCCCGACATCTCACAAGCCTATGGATCTTCACGTCCTGTTACAGGGATACATTTAGCTTTTTTTTTATATATTTCAGAAAGCATTAAGTATAATTTTATACCATTCTTGTATTAAAATGTAAATTTACACTGTAATATTTTTCATAACCTATATACTTATACTGATGTGGAAAGCAAATGGAAAAACTACCACATTATCACTTTTCCTGGATAGTCTCGTTCCAAAAACAGAAGATCGCGTTAAGTGGAGGAACTGTTTTGGAAGAGATTGTGGACCTGTTGTCTGACAGATTACTGATGAATGAATGAATACTTATACTATCTGATCCACATGTGCTGCTTGGGTTTGGCATTACTCAAAAGCCAAGCCCCAATGGCAATGCTGTGTAGTTTCTACTCTGAACGAGCAAATCACTAGTTATTCTAGTTACTGCACCGGAACTGAGGAGAAGAACAGCAGGCCTTTATAAGATACCTGTATTTTAGTCGCTTTCATAATTTGCATATGGTTTCAGTGAAAGACATAAGAATTATTAATAACCAGACGCAAGCATTCTGTATATGCAGGAAGGATTTAATGTAATTCGTGTGATAATTAAGCCATAAACTGACCCTTCGCTCTCAGTTCTGTGATATTATAAAAAGAAATAAAAAGTAAAATAAAGGTATCTCTGTAACGGGTCGTGGAGGTCCATAAGGTTGTGAGATGTTGAGGTTCCCACATTTTCTAGATAATCGGCTCATAGATGGCGGTAAGGTTGTCAGCCCTACTCGCTGGCAGCCCTTTACCCCGAAGAATATTCAAAGAATATTCCTGGTACCTATTTCTGTTAGATGCTGAGTCAACCCCAGGGCCATAGTACGGCTGGAAGGATTAGATCAGTTGAAAAAATTCAATGACCTCATCGGGACTTGAACTCGCGACCTTCCGGCTTGTAGCATAGTGCCTCAACCAACTACGCTACCGCATGCCTAACCTTATGTAAACTCGTGAGATGTAAGAAAACAGAGTTACAAAAAAGGAATTTGATTCGTGATATTAGTTAAAGTTTGTTACATTTACATTTACATTGTAAATAATATTGCGAGAAAGTTAAGTTAGTTCTTGTAAGTTAATGTTTAAAGGGAGACAGGAATATATTTGTAAAGTGTTGTAATATGCTAATTGTACCATGTAACTTGACTCCTTTCGATATTTGTCAGGACAAATTAGAATTCAGATGACGTATAATTAGAATCTATATGTAATATACCTTGCGTAATTGTAGTTTCCAGTTTCTAGTTGTCTGAAACTTGTGGCCGAGAGACAATAAAACCTTTATAGAGTATGAAACTATTTATACTGCATTATTTCGAAATATACAGATACAATTTTAATGCATATGGAAGAGCAACTTATAAGAAGTAATATTTTCTTCGTGCAGCATCTACAATTATCTAAAAGCTTAAATACCAACTTCTTTATTGAATGTGAAACTTACCGGTTCCCACTAGTAAGATGAGCGTGATTAAGAGATAAACTTGCGTGAAGGTGACCATGGTTCTTGTGTTGGCGATCTTCGGTCCTTAGAAGTGAATATTATCGGCTACTTCTCATGTTGGGGTAGGAAATGAATTATTTTATAACGAGGATTCTGCGACCTCTTGACAGCACTGGCCAGATGATACTAATACGACATGCAGTCTTGGGGATGCTGCACATGCCTGTCCTCTAGTAAACGTAACTGCGCTTGCGTCTGGCAGCAAATGCCTCGTACAAATCAAAACCAGAGTAATAGCGTGCTTCTACAGGGCTAAGAGTTTATTCATTAAATTATAATAGCAAACTCATTATATGAGGCAATCAGGTGCAGGTGGCAACATTATAAATTTTGCCTTGCACGTGTCGTTTAGAGGCAAAGGCTGTACAAATTCCTGGAGGAAAATAGACAAATAAAATGTAAAATATAATGTCATCTCTGAAGTGTTATGCAGTTAGCTCATCATGAAGGGCTAGTGGAGGACATTAGTAAAAGTTTATTAAGTATTTAAATTACCCTTTTGTAAATATTTTAAACTACATGTCGGATTAACTGTCGAGGACTACAATGTAATTACTGATCATGCTGAAAGCTGTGATTATATTATTCATAACAGCAAATTGAGGGTTAAGGTAATAATTTTCTCTGGCAAACATAGGCCATTCATAACACATGAAAAGTGTCACACACTAATGAATAACTTCACTACAGATTATCCGATTTGATAGTATATAAGAAGGGACGCTTCATGTGCAATTTAAAGCAGAATATTTTCGAGAATCGCTGCTGCTTATGTAAGCAACAACATGAAGAAATAAATTTAATTTAAAGAATGAATATTTCTGCACACCATTCCTGTACATAATGAACTGAAAAAGAATTAGAATTTCGTTAATGGTATAATTCCCTTTTTGAATATTCTAAATTATTCAGGAATTCAATATGAGCTAGTATACCAATCTAAATGCAATTCTACTATTGCGTCCCCCACTTATATTCAGTCCTTGTGACATGTCTCTCAAACTGACAACTTTATGCAGAATCCCTGTAGGTGAATGGCTACTATTTTACTAAAAATTTCTCTGTTTGCTTCTGGATTATAAATGTACACACTTATTATTTTTTGTCATAATTTGTTTCCATGAAAGGAATGACATTTCTTGCAGTATTTTTTTTCTGAATGTTATTTAAAAGAATATGTCTTGATACTTGTACTTCTCTCGCACGTTAGTTCTGACATCACCGACTGTCTATATAAATATTTGTAGATAAAAGTATGGTATATTGCTAGCCCAAAATTGCATATTCACTCCTTGATTTTATAAGAATATTCTTCTTTCTTCTTAGGCTACAGACAAGCATTTTTCTATAAAAGAAGAACATTTTAATTATATTCCAATTCGAATGTTACTGTTGCAGAGTCAGTTCAAGAATAACATCACAAAGAATTTTACAGCACTTTTCTATAAGTTTAACATGCTTGAAAACTAAAAACTTTTAGGAGGCACTTCCATGGATGTGCCATAATAATCCAGATACGAATTTAATGAAATAGGATATTCTGTATAAGAATTATCTCAGGCAAAAGACATACCACGTAAATTTAATAAGGGATTTGAGACTAGGTTATTTACTTAAAAAATATTGCGGAATACACTTCATTTTATATATATATATTTGTCTTGTTCTTCGGCCCTGAAGATCGAGGCTACATGTTCCTCCGAAATGTTGATTGACATTGAACGGACGACATGGATTTATATCCCAGAAGGCAGAAATCTTTGTACAGAAATAAATTAAAATAGAAAATCGAGTAATTCTGGGCCACATTCCTCTCTTATGATATGAAATTAAGTGTCTGTTGTCACCCTGCTCCCTCTACATCTGTATCCCCCTTTTCAAATTTGAACTATTGGCTATCAAAATGGCTGACGTGGAAATGTTTCCTTTGGCTCTCTATTTGATTACGATAATTGATTAACAGGCATAGAAATATATGTGAAATAAGTTTTATAGTTCAACAATTGCGGCGATGTTGCGAACTCTTCAGACAGAATTTGTATTTATGTAATAAATTCTTCAAAATAAAGTAATTTTTAATGTAGCTTCAGGCAGATAATTATACGCAACAGGAATAGGCACTTTCGCAATTCCTCGAAATACACGATATTCAGAGAATGAAGGGATTCCGAAATATTCGTAAGGACTTACGAGTTAAAACGTTCTGAATACCATTACAGTTTTTAATCCCTTGCATTACTGTTCTGCCTGCGGGAGATTGAATTTTAAATATTCGTGAGAACTGTGGGCGGATCCTTGGCTTTCATATTTTACAACAAATGTCATTGGCGACATGAGTATAGCTCAGTGGTTTGGCGGATCTGCGAGGGATTTTAGATGTAAATGGCGGATGTACTGAATCCTGCCAAAATATCGGTGCTTTTCTCACAACGTAATGCAGCACCTCCATAATATCTTTCAACTCGTTGTGATGAATAGAAGAATTCAGCCTGAAAACTCATCGAAAGTCTTCCTGTAGGGACACTTGAGAATTGCCACATTTCGTACTAAAAATGCTTTAACACGAAGAATGAAATATATATAAATTTAAACATGAAAGAAGTTACACAAATTATTTACATTTAAGAAGAAAAATAAGTAAATAATAAAGAAAAATGGAACTATTTCTGGTGTCATGAGGTTTACTCGTATATGCATGTATCATTATCTTCCCCTTAAAATATAGTCAATTTCTTCCTAAACAAGGATTTTAGTTTGTACTCTTGTCGGGTGTTCAGAAACTAAACTCTTTCTTCTATGCAGTCGATAGGAAATGTCTTTTTTTTCTGTGGCGCTACAGCCCCAGTTTGGGCCTAGGCCTACCTCCATGAACTCCGTTCACTCCGTTCCATGCCCTGAGTGGGATTCGAACCCACGATCCCGGCTTCCGAGCGAGCGAAGACAGTGCATGCCTTAGACCGCTCGGCTACCGTGACCGTCAGTGTATAAGAATAATATATAAGAATTCAGTTCGTACCTCACAGGAAACAGATCCGAACCCACGATCCCGGCTTCCGAGCGAGCGAAGACAGTGCATGCCTTAGACCGCTCGGCTACCGTGACCGGCAGGAAATGTCTTAGTACGTATATATATAAATTTACATTTTTTTTTGACATAGGAAACCTTGAACATAAGAGAACATATGAGAGTTACTTGAAGGAAATCCAAGAGATGAACGAACTATACAATGAAGCCCTTCAATTTTACTGTCAGAGACGTAATAAATTAGTTTTGTTCCTTCCGACATTTTCCTCCTTCGTGCTCACTTTTGGAGGAAAAACAGTACATTAATTTTAGCTTTTGTTTTGTATTTTTTTGCATGAATGCTGATTACGCAGAGTTAAAAATTCTAGTTCCTTTATGAAATTTGACTCTGTTCCGATAAATTAGAACCTCAGCTGTGTAAGGGTTGAAAGAGACATAATACATCTGTAGAAAAGTTACAAGAGAATGAACGAATTTCGCGACTGCATGTTCTTTTTGTAAATAACAAAAACCGAGTTTGATATCGAATGCCCAGATTATCGACCTAGTCATTCGAGGTAAGGGAACGAGGCCATAGAGAGAGAAGCACCAGACTGTGTTAGTCCATTGTGAATAGATTTAATTGCATTGTTTCAAAATCTTTTAAGAAAATATAGTCTCAAATATAAGATAATATGTATACATGGAAACTTTATGTATCATAAAAACTACCATAAACACTGTCATAATTTTAAAAGGAATATATTCCGGAAAAATGGTCTGTGGCAGTTGTAATAGCCTACATATTCTAAAACATGAGAAAGAACTGTAACACCTATGCAGGAAAGTGCTTGTTAAGGAGTGTGTGTGAAACATACTAAATCATTGGAAAGAAAAATGCAAGTCATTAACAGAAGGTTAACATGAATTTTAAAAAGGACATTCAAATCTTGATAGAACATTTACTATTTAACATCAATAGACAAAAAGGAATGGTGTAAGTTTAGCGAAAATATTGTGAATATATTACGAAAAGTGTTTCAACAATATAATGGGATAAAAGCTATCAGGCATCCAAAAAAATGTACAAAATAACAAAGCGAATATTGAAACTGTTGAAATATGCTTACAGAGGCGAATAGTAGGAGTTAACACATCGCGATCAGAACGTGTAAAGAAAAGAGAAATGAGTAACCAGAAAGATACAGAGAGTGTTTCAGGCTACAGACTTAACCAGGTTACTACGTTGATCATCATCATCATCAGTAATCTGTCAGACGATAGGTCCACAGTCTCTTCCAAAACAATTCCTCCACTTAATGCGATCTAGAGCTTTCTCCTTCAAATGGAAAAACTACCACATTATCACTTTTCCTGGAGAGTCTCTTTCCAAAACAGAGATACCATGTATGCGAGATGTTTCCTCTGGAGACGAAACAGTCCGGAGGTAAACTACTCCCCCAATCGGATCTCCGGGGGGGGGAGTGTTTCTAGAGGAAATGTCATTAATAAAATAGATACTGGATGACCTTGGGGACAGAAGAGGATACTACGTTGAATAATGGGAAAAAAAAATCCAAGATTTGAGGTTTTCACGGTGGTGACTATGAAGAAAGAAGTTTTCTGAGATATGGCACCGTGTAGATATTGTATTAATCGACGTTTCGTAGGAACGCATCGCCTCCATCTTCATGCTAGAAGAAAAAGGGGGCGGATTTTTTCTTTTTCTTCTACCTTGAAGATGTATGCGATACCTACCTCCGAAACGTCGGTTAATACAATATCTACACGGAACATATCCCAGAAGACCGTTTTCTTCAGATTTATCCTAAATTTAAGCTTTTGATACAGTAGAAGGAAGGAATGCAGGAAGATGTATAAAGCGACGGCTCGATGAAAGGAAGTTTAGTGGAAACGGAACACGACAACAGCTGACGTTTACGATGATGACACTTTATCTGAAAATATTTTAAATTTCAAGGAATATTTGTTAGAAAGGTTAGCAGACCTTATAATTCAGTCCGACGACACAATTACAATCGATTCGTCTTTCTGCTCTTTGAAGATCATGTATCAAATGTAAAATATACTTCAGCAATTAATAAGGTGAAAC